CAGGTTAGCTTGGGATTACAGGGCACCCAGCCCCGATGCTCGGCTAATTTTGTATTTTTAGTTAGAGGATGGGTTTCACTTATTAAATTTTGGCAGGGCTGGGTTCCGAACTCCTGACTCGTGATCCACCCTCCTTGGCCTCCTAGAAGTGCTGGGATTACAGGATGTGAGCCACGCGCCTGGCACACTAGTTTTTTGGTTTGTTTGTTTTTGGAGACGAGTCTTGCTCTGTCGCCTCAGGCGTTGAGTGCAGTGGGCATGGTCTCAGCTTCACCTCAAGCTCTGCCTCTGGGGTTCACGGCCATTTTCCTGGCCCTCAGCCTCGCCGAGTGCTGGTATTTAACAGGCGCCCGTTTGCCACGGCAGCTGAGTTTTTTGTTTTTTAGTAGAGATGGGGTTTCACATGTTTAGCCAGGCCAGGATGGTCTCGATCTCCTGACCTTGTGATCCGCCCGCCTCGGCCTCCCAAAGTGCTGGGATTACAGGTGTGAGCCACTGCGTCTGGCCCTGGCACACTAGTTTTTTTAACAGCCTACTTGCTGAGGAATAAAGAACAAATCTGGTACCATTTAAATCAGGCGAGTGTTTAGTTCTTTAGGTAATTAGGTTGTTTACCTCTATTTTTGTCTGATTGACTCATTGTTTTAAACATTTCGGTTCAGTTTTATCTGGCAGACATTATATAGGAAAAAGGAAAGATTATGACACATTTCCTCTCTTTATGGTGTAAAATAACCAATCATGCATGGTTTCCTGGGACTTTCCAGATTTTAGCTCTAAAAGGCTCACATGCGATGATTGAACACTGGAACTCAAAACTTTTGCAGGAGAAATAAATTACTCAGTTCAGTAAACTTTTATTAAGCTCAATTTTTTTTCCCTTTGAATTTGAGAGTATCTGGAAAGATGTATCCTTGAGGAATGAATAAGAATTTATCTGAAAAACTGATAGTGGGTGATCAAATTTCTAGGCAGAAGAAGCTGCATGCCACAAAAGCACATAAACATGAAAATAACACGTTATGTCTGGAAACCTGTAAACAGGTCAGTATTTCTAGAGTAAGAAGAGGGAAGCACATAATGGCCAAGAGATGAAGCTGGATAGTTACATGGAGCCCATTTATGGATCTTGTTGACCTCAAGTGACCCGCCCTCGGCCTCCCAAAGTGCTGAGATTACAGGCATCTGCCACCGCGCCCAGCTACAGAAGATTAATTCAAATGTTAGCTCCGTTACTTATTATTAGGAAGGGCTAATTATTCAACTACTCTTAGTTTCAGTTTCTTCATCTATAAAATTCAAGGGTTTTTTCTAGACAGTCTATGGTCAACTCCAAAATTATATTAGGATTGAGGCATTGTTACTTCAGCATTCTTTTTTTTTCTTGTTTTTAATTTTTTTTCATCTTATGTAGGTGCCTTTTACCTTGTATTTGAGTATATGGACCATGACTTAATGGGACTGCTAGAATCTGGTTTGGTGCACTTTTCTGAAGACCATATCAAGTCGTTCATGAAACAGCTAATGGAAGGATTGGATTACTGTCACAAAAAGAATTTCCTGCATCGGGATATTAAGTGTTCTAACATTTTGCTGAATAACAGGTAACATAGTAACCAAATAAGATTAATTTCTTTCCTCTTCTCCTCTGACCTTTTTAGTTTCAAATGGTTAATTGGTATTATAATTAGACCTAATAGTGCAGTATTCGCACACACATTGAGTTTTTAGTGATATTCCCTATGTTCAGTGTGGGAGAAACATGCCTGCTCCTTCAGTTGTTCTTGAGCCTTTCTCAGTTACCAGCTTTCTGAGTAGACATTGATGTGCAGTTGGTGATTGGCCTTTTCTGCTCAGTACTTACTCATAGGTTTTAATAGTGTAAACAAGCAGGAATCTGGTGATGAACAGGTGTTAATTCATCAGAAGTTTTTTATTATCTGCTTTCTTCTTTTCTGTTTATTTGCCTATACTGCATTGGTAATATCAGAAGTATTATGCATAGTAGGGTTTTTTTTTTTTGAGACGGAGTTTCACTCTTGTTGTCCAGGCTGGCGTGTAGTGGCGTGATCTCAGCTCACTGCAACCTCCACTTCCCAAGTTCAAGTGATTCTCCTGCCTCAGCCTCCCGAGTAGCTGGGATTACAGGCACCCAGCACCATGCTCGGCTAATTTTTGTATTTTTAGTAGAGATGGGGTTTCACTATATTGGCCAGGCTGGTCTCGAACTCCTGACCTCGTGATCCACCCTCCTTGGCCTCCTAAAGTGCTGGGATCAAAAGAGTATTTCTTTTTTTTTTTTTGAGAAGGAATCTGGCTCTGTCACCCAGACTGGAGTGCAGTGGCGCGATCTCGGCTCACTGCAAGCTCTGTCTCCCAGGTTCCCACCATTCTCCTGCCTCAGCCTCCGCGAGTAGCTGGGACTACAGGTGCCCGCTACCATGCTTGGCTTATTTTTTGTATTTTTAGTGGAGATGGGGTTTCACTGTGTTAGCCAGGATGGTCTCGATCTCCTGACCTCGTGATCCGCCCATCTCGGCCTTCCAAAGTGCTGGGATTACAGGTGTGAGCCACCGCGCCCAGCCAAGAGTATTTCTTTATGTTGCTTTCTCTGACTCATAATTCCTAGTAAAGTTGGAGGTTGGTGACTCTCCATCTATAATAAATAATGCATTAAGAACTTCTGGCCTATAGTATAATATAGTTTCTGCTCTTCCCTTTACTCCTCCATGAGGAGATGTCTCAAAGCAGGGAATAATTGCAGCTCCATTTGGTGTCCTTTCTGGTGGGTAAGGCCCCTTTTTCTTCCTGACTTTCCAGAGTCAGTAAGCTGATGAGGTCCCAGACTAAATTGAATTTCCTCCTCAGGTTGCTAAGCAGGATACAGGAATCCCATGGTCTAGCCTGATCCATCCAGCCTCTTCCCTTACCCACTTAGCTGTGTCTACTCAGACCTCTGGGTGAGACGGCCTGGAGAAAACGGTGAAGGGTTGTCAGCTGGGCAAGGAAAAGAGAGAACAGTTGGCCAGAGAGAGAGAGAAGACCAGAGTTGGATTCCTTGATGTTCATTATATTTTAATTACAAAGTATAAATGAGACCAAATCATTTTATATAGAAGAGAGACGCAGTCAGTCTTCTGTTTTGGAAAGGTCGCCAAATTATCACTTTATGCTCATAAACTGGAGGCAGAGAGACCCTCTAAGAACTTTGTAAGAAGTGGTCAGTGCTTGAAATAACCCAGACACTACTACTAGGGATGGACTCAGTAGATCTGTAGACTTTGGTTGAATGAGTGAATGGTAGATAGTGAATTAGAGAAGGTAAGATCACTCACAGGTTTCTGACTTGAAAAACTATCTAGATGGGTGGCACTACTAGCCAATACAAGGAAGACGGAAGAGTAGGATGGATGCGGTAACAGGCAAATCTCTTTTGGATATGTCTTTTATATATCCAGGGTAGTGATATTTAATAACATATGGTCATTTGGGAATTCCAAACTACCAGTACAGATTTGGTAGTTACCAAGCATAGGAAATATGTCAGAAATGTCACCCAAGAGAAATTGTCAGAGAGATAGGAAGAAAATAAGGAAAATATGAATGCAGGATAGGCAAGTTTAAGAAGGGAGTGATCATTGATGTCAGATGATGCAGGCAAATTATAAGAGAATCTGAAAATTAAAAGGTCAGTAGTGATATTAGTGTGGAGTAAGGGGATGAGTAGCACAATTAATGAGAAGGTAGTGGTAGGGGGTGTCTTTAATTTTTAATTTTAAGGATGGCAGATATTTGAATATATTTAAATGCTAAGGGGAGGCCAACGTGGTGGCTCACATGTGAAATCCTAACACTATGGGAGGCTTTGAACTGGGCAGGTCACTTGATGCTAGGAGTTCGAGACCAGCCTGGCCAACATAGCAAAACTCTGTCTCTACTAAAACTACTAAAATTAGCTGAGCTTGGTGGTGCACGCCTCTAATCCCATCCCAGGCCCAGGAGGCCAAGGCATGAGAATTGCTTGAACCTGGGACGCAGAGATTGCACCACTGCACTCCAGCCTGGGTGACAGAGCAATACCCTGTCTCAAAAAAAAAAAAAAAAAAATGCTAAGGAGAGAGAATATCTGTACAAAGGGAGCAGTTAAAGATTTGGGGGCTGGGCACAGTGGCTCACGCCTGTAATCCCAGCACTTTGGGAGGCCGAGGTGGGTGGATCACTTGAGGTCAGGAGTTCAAGACCAGCCTGGCCAACATGGTGAAACCCCGTCTCTACTGAAAATAGAAAAACTTAGCCAGGCATGGTGGTGGACACCTGTAATTCCAGTTACTTTGGAGGCTGAGGCAGGAGAATCCTTGTAATCCCAGCACTTTGGGAGGCCAAGGTGGGCGGATCACGAGGTCAAGAGATCGAGACCATCCTGGCCAACATGGTGAAACCCCATCTCTACTGAAAATAGAAAAACTAACTGGATATGGAGGCACATACCTGTAGTCCCAGCTACTCAGGAGGTTGAGGCAGGAGAACCGTTTGAACCTGGAAGGCGGAGGTTGCAGTGAGCTGAGATCGCGCCACCGCACTCCACCCTGGTGACAGAGCGAGATTCCGTCTCAAAAAAAATAAATAAAAAATAAAAAAGATTTGGCAAAGAACCAAAATAATTTAAAGGAGCAAGGTTCTAGAATAGATGGGATCGAGGCCACAGGTGGAGGGATTGATTACCCTTGGTCAAGAAAAGACATTGACATACTTTTTATGTATCGTTGAACCTTGAACAACGCGGGTTTCAACTGTGGCATGTCCACTTATACACAGATTTTTATCCAACCAAAGACGAATAAAAAACAATGTTTGCAGTATATAAAACTTGTGTATATGGAGTACCAGTGTTTCATATATGCTGTTTCTGTAAAACCTACTGCAGGACTTGAGTTTCCTTGAATTTTGGTATATATGGGAGTCTTGGAACCAATTCCGTAGTTATACTGAGGGATAACTGTAATTAAAAGGAAAGAGGAAAGTAAGATTATAGATGGAAGTAGGTTTACTGGAAAAAGGTAGGATGTTAAGTACCTCTCACCTAATGACTTTAATTTTTTCACTGAAAAAGGTCATTTATTAAGTAAGTGTAAGAGGGTAGGGGATGGATTAGAGCATTAAGGAGAATGCCAAAGGTCTGTAATGACAGCCATGCTGAATGGAAGTTGCTGATTACAGGCAAGTAAAAGGACTAATCAGTAGCATTCAGGAATTAACAGAGAGAGGAAGTCACACATTTTGCAGTGGCACCATACAATATGATTATATGATTTTTTATTTTTATTTTTTTTGAGATGGAGTCTCACTCTGTCACCCAGGCTGGAGTGCAGTGGCGCTATCTCGGCTCACTGCAACCTCTGCCTCCCGGGTTCAAGCAGTTCTCCTGCCTCCGCCTCCCGAGTAGTTGGGACTACAGGCGCGTGCCACCACACCTGGCTAATTTTTGTATTTATAGAGACGGGGTTTCACCATGTTGGCCAGGCTGGGTCTCAAACCTCTGACCTCAAGTGATCCACCCACCTTAGCCTCCTAAAGTGCTAGGATTACAGGTGTGAGCCACCACGCCCGGCCAGTTATATGATTTTTATTCTTTGCACTTGTGTTCAGCTCTCTAGGTAGAGCAGAAAAGGCAGATTTTCTAATGATCCAGAATTAGGGACTTATGGATTAGCTATATCACAAGCTAAGGGAACCAGGAAGACAGTAGTTTGGTTAATTAACCAAGGGGTCCAGGTAGGCAAGGGAAGGAAGTATTATGTGAGAGAGGGCTGAACTGGGAGTGAGTGGAGGCACTGTGTACTTGAAGGTCTTGTCAAAAGGCAAAAATGTTAAACCATGGTCTCAGAAAGAATTCTCCACATATTTCTGTATTCATCTTATTCCTTTGAGACAGGACAAACAATATGATGGCACTTCTTTTGTATTTTATTTTTATTTATTTATTTATTTTGTATTTTATTTTTTGAGATGGAGTCTCGCTGTGTCACCCAGGCTGGAGTGCAGTGGCACAATCTCGGCTCACTGCAACCTCGGCCTCCCGGGTTCAAGCGATTCTCCCGCCTCAGCCTCCCAAGTGGCTAGGACTATAGGTGTCCGCTGCCACGCCCATCTGATTTTTGTATTTTTAGTAGAGACGGGGGTTTCACCAGGCTGGTCTCAAACTCCTGACTTAAATGATCCTCCTGCCTTGGTCTCCCAAAGTGTTGGGACTACAGGCGTGAGCCACTGCACCCAGCCTGTTCTATTTTATATTGCAAAAAGTTACCAATACTTCCACACTTCATAGTGAGTCACCTTAATGGTTTAGTTGTAAGGAAAAGCAGGAGTCAGTAAAAGTGCTATCAGCGGCCTGGCGTGGTGGCTTATGCTTGTAATCCCAGCACTTTGGGAGGCCAAGGCCTGCTAATTTGTATTTTTAGTGAGACGGATTCTCTTTGTGGTCACGCTCTCTCGACTTCCCAACTCACTTAGTGATCCACCACTCAGCTCCCAAAGTGCGGGATGACAGGTGTGAGCCACTGGCGCCTGCCCTTTTTCTTTTTTTTTAATAGCCAGGCGCGGTGGCTCACGCCTGTCATCCCAGCACTTTGGAGAGCCCAGGTGGGTGGATCACCTGAGGGCAGGAGACTACAGACCATCCTGTTACAGGGTGAAATCCCGCTCTACTAAAAATACAAAAAATGAGCCAGGTATGTGGCGGGTGGCCTGTAGTCCATCGTACCGAGAGCTGAGGCAGGAGAATGGCAATACCCGGGAGGCAGAGCTTGCAATAAGCCGAGATGGTACCACTGTATTCCAGCCTGGGGGACAGAGCAAGACTTCGTCTCAAAAAACAAAAAAAAATAGAGGTGAGATCTGCAGTGTTGACCAGGCTGTCTTGAACTGGCCTCAATGATTCTCCCCTATAGGCTCCAAAAGTGCTGGTATTACAGGCATAAGCCCACCACGCCAGGCCTGGAAGTTACTCTTTTCTTTCTTTTTTTTTTTTTTTTTTTTGAGAGACGAATTCTGGCTCTGTCCCCCCAGGCTGGAGTGCAGTGGCGTGATCTCGGCTCACTGCAAGCCCCGCCTCCCGGGTTCATGCCATTCTCCTGCCTCAGCCTCCCAGTAGCTGGGACTACAGCCGCTGCCCACGCAACCCGGCTAGTTTTTTGTATTTTAGTAAGAGATGGGGTTTCACTGTGGTCTCGATCTCCTGACCTTGTGATCCACCCACCTCGCCTCCCAAGGTGCGGATTACAGGTGTC